TTGAATGTATTTTCAAATGACTATCATTTTTATTTTTTTTTTCTGAATCACTCTTAACTCTCGCTCAGTAGATTGTTTGTAATTTTTTCATTGTTGCTAATTTATGAAACAGAAAATGCTAATGACAACAGTAAGAGAAAGAAGAACTGATTATTGTGCTGTATGCTCTCAGAGGAGGAACACATTCATCTTCAAACCAAACAAGAAGTAGGAGGTGTTACTGTTGGGCTCCGTGTTGTGCCATTTTGGCAAGAAAGGAAGACACAGACCTATAAAATCAAGTTTGATCTAGTCTAGGTCCTTAATCACTGCTCTTCTGCCTTCCTATTTGTATGAATCAATTACCTTTTAGATTTTTAAATCATATTCTGGTTAAGAATTCTATCACATATTACTGAAATGTTTAAAAGTTTCATTACCTAACGTGATAAGCTTCCATTGTCTGGAAAAACACTGATGGGAAGCACCTCATTTTTCAACACTCCTGGACAAATGTTGCTGCATATCTTTGACACCATTTGATCTGTCAATTCAAGGTATCTGGAGTGATATAGAAAATTAGAAGATAAAGAAAGGTAACTCCTCAGCCACCGAAAGAATTGCCACCAAGCCCATGTGGAAGGCTCATTTATCTTCATCTGTGGGAGAAAGCAAGGGCCTCACACACTTCAGCACCCTGGCCCTCTGCCACGCCAAGGATGGAGACCACCAGGCCAGATGGAGGGTGTCCCTCCTAGGGATGGTGCAAGCTGGCTGACAGCACAGGGCCCAGTGAAACCTCCTGGAACAGAAGCAGGTGAGTCCCCAGAGTAGAGGCGGATATTGAAGGAAATGTGGCTCACTGAAGTCCCCGCGATGAGGCTGGGAGTGTTTAGTCACCTGCATTCCAGGGGTCCAGAAAAACTGTCAGTTCACAGGAAATAAACTCCCTTCCAGAAGCTGCACAGATGAGTCACAGTGCACTGGCGTGTGGAGTCTCACAGACGTGGAAGGAGACTGGGGAGGGATGAAAGTCAGGAGCTCTGCAGAGTGCCAGGCAACCACCCCTGGGCCTCCCCACCTTCAAGAAAGGATACTTGTAAAGTGCTCCGCCCACCGTGTGTGTGCAGGAGGTAAACATGCGGGGCAAGATGGCAAGCCCAGATAGGAGAATAGAAGTGTTGAGCATGTTAAGGAGACACTATGGAGTGGGGGGTTAATAGAAATTATAGGAAAAGCCCAAGTTTACAACAATATGAAAGAGTGAAACCAAATCCCCAAGAATCAGGGAGATTGCAATGGCATTCCAATTGTTAAAACTCCAACATGGGCCATGGTTCCACTTGCTACATGTCAGACCCTGCTGAGCGTCCCACATGTACCATGTAATTCCCACAACTTCCCCAGGAGACAAGTATTATTACCCACATATTGCAGGCAAGAACACTGAGCTCAGAAGGGATAAATATTGTGCCTTCCATCAGGAAGCCAGTGACTGGTACAGCTACAACTTGAACCCAGCTCTACCTCCAGATACAGTTCCATTAACATCTTCTACATGGGGTTCTAATAACAATCCCCAAGTTATCAAAAAGCAGATGAAGGCTGGGCACAGTGGCACCGCCTGTAATCCCAGTGGCTCAGGAGACTGAGGCAGGAGGATCTTGAGTTCAAAGCCAACCTCAGCAAAAGCGAGACGCTAAGCAATTCAGTGAGACCCTGTCTCTAAATAAAAAACAAAAGAGGGCTGGGGATATGGTTCAGTGGTCAAACGCCCCTGACTTCAACCCCAGGTACCCTCTCCCCAAAAAAATATAAGCAGACAAAGTGTTGTTACTTGATGATCCTAGAAAGAAGGCAGATGATAATGCTTCAAATGTATTTTAACCAATTTTGACAATTTAAAACTACAGCCTATTAGTTTAAATTCAGAAAAATAGTACATACATTGATGGGTGGTCAAGAGAAAAGGGTTTCCTGTGCAAATCCCCAAGCAGGTCCTTGTCCTTTGAAGAAGGGGTGAGTGGGTGGTGCCAGGCCCCTTCTTGCTCCAGCTGTCTGTGATGAGCCAGGAAGCACGTTCCATTCCTGAGGTGGGGAAGGTGTCACGTGACCACACCCTCCTCTTTGTGGGCACAGGACAGGTATTCACACTTAGGAGGGAGCCCTGGGAACACACAGCTGATTCTGGGGCTGTGCGGACTGTCTTAGCTTCACCAGGTGATGCCTTCCTTCCAGTTGTTTGGAGAGACGAGGGAGCAATGACAGCTGAAAGGATCCCTACAATTTCTTAAATTCTTCGTTGCACAGAAGAGAACATTGAGACCTGGCCAGCCAGGGCTGTAGCTCAGGGCTGCACAGCAGAGGAACATCCCTCAGCTGAGGGTCTGCTTCCCTAAGAGTCACTGCAAGGGATCAGGAGAAGAGGGAGGATCAGGACGCACCCAACCGCTCCCTGTGAGGCCAACAGGTGACAGGCAGCTGATCTACTGGGCAAGAGCTTTGGCTGTTTCCATCAAGGAGAAGTCTGGTTCCATGTGGTTTCCCTGAGCTGGGAAGATGGCATCTTGTGATGATTGTGGCCACACTGGGAGGTGGTCTTCTACACATGAAAAGATTATGACTCACAAAATGGCCTTATAATGGGAAGAAATAACTTCTGCATGAAGTCAGGAAGTCAGGAAAGATCCCGGTTCTACCTCTCCTCCCAGCTCCTAGAGCAGCACCCACCACAGAATAGGCCAACACAAACTTGTACTGAGGGAAACAGGTCACAGACGTGTCCAACAGGCAGTGTCCCAATGCATGCAGTGTGAAAACCAGGCCTCTGGGCACGTTTGTTTTAAGAACAACTCATAAACTGAGAACATAGCTCAAAAGTAGGGTGCTTGACTAGCATGTACTAGGCCCAGAGCTCAATTCCCACTACTGGGGAGAAAAAAATAGATTCCTCATGGACATATTCCTATTCTTTCATAGACTCTGAATTCCTAATATACATACGTATGTATAAACTCTGTAATCAAGCTAGCTCATGTTTGCTTACAGATTGCTTGGGATTATTGTCCCCTCATTTTAGTTTTAAACTTTTTATTTTGTCCTACCAAAAATAAAGCATTCTTAATTTTAAAAGAAAAATGAATTTTGCAATTTTTTGATGTGTCCTCAACATGAAACTGTATTACTAGCAGGGTTGACTATAATGAGATTGTATTAATTCATGCATTTTATTTTGTTTCTTTAGGGATACATTGTTTAAAATTTAATAGACCAATTCATTCCTTGTACTTCAAAGAGTGCCTGCCAGTCGCTTAGTAGGCATTCAAAAAATGAATGTATGTATGATTACCCAAAAGTATTTGCAAGTTGGCACCACTCTTCATGGAAAACTTTCTAGTAAACTTTCTGTCTTCACATGAAGGTCACTTTCTGCAGGAACAGTATAGTGAAAGTCATAACCATGTTATGGCAAACTTGCAGCAACTGTGCATTGAATCACTCTCCTTTACACATTCATAAAATTTATATTTCAAAATGCTTATGAATAACTCACTGGGGTCATTTCCTGAGAAGGAGAAGATTGGGGGAGGGCAGGTTTCAGGGGCAATCAGGCATTCTATTTTAGACATTTTAAATTTGTAGTGCAAGAACTGTTAGGAGGCATTTGGGTATATAGACTTTATGCAGCAATTGGCGTACAATTTTTAAAATAGTTTGCTGAAGAAAACTCTATATGCAGTGTAGTCCAATTGGAGACAGGCTTTTTAAATTAGTTATAAGAATGCAAAATTTTCATATAAAAGCTATTATTAAAATTGTTCTGGTAAATGGTGTCAGAAGGAATCATCTTTTCTTTCTCTTGCACACTCACATGCACACACACAGAAACATGAGTGCACACAAACCCACAGGCACACATTTAAGCACACACAAAAATATGCATACGCACAAAACAACCATCCAGAGGCTGAAGCAATTGGTGCACGCTATGTATACACTACCCAAAGCACTTCATTCATAATTCCAGCAGCCCAGCTTTATGACTCTTTCCCTTTCAAGTGAAAGTGGGTTTAAGCATCATTAGAGAAAGAGAAAATATGAATTTGCTTATTGCAGAAAACCTTAGCAGCATCTAATAATAGCACATGGGACTACTGCCACCAGAAACAGCAAAAGCAGGGACTTAGAAAGACAAGACCGGGTACCTTTCACAAAGTTAGACCACATCCAAGAACCTCTCTCTACATTTTATAGCATATTTTTTTTTCAGAGTACTAACATGCACTATGAGGAATATAATTTGTGTATATTATGTGTAAAGCACAGAGCTACACACATACTCAATGCACAAAAAAACTCCCAAGTCTTCATATTGGATCAGAACACTGGTCCTTCTTTCATGCACCTTCTTTTTTGATTGTCAAGGACGGACTCCTTTTTTGACTATAATAAAGATTTTTATTTATTCAATAATCACCTGAGGAAACAGGAAACACATAGGACCGATGTGATAAATACATATATTCTTATGGAGTTGAAATATTTTACAAGTCAACTACAATTAAGTTTTGCTCTAATTTCTGAATTTGTATCTCTACTTTGACCAAAGTGCTGATATAAAAGCAAGCCAAATACTTCAAGAGAGTACATCCAGGATACTCAGCTCTCTACTGTTCTCCCATGACAGACATCCCTGGGGTGACACTGACAGTATTTCATGAGTGCATATTTGAATATCCTGGGTCATCTGCTGGAGGTTTTCTCCTCGGTGCTGAAATACCCTCTTCCCAATGGTAGTCTCGAGTTCCAGGCCCTTCACCTCCATGCCAACAGCGCTGCCATGAAAACATTTCCTCCAGCGTGGAGACAAGAATTGGCTTCTCCACTTGGCAACAGATCCCGTGTTGATGATTTTTAAAAGAATAACTATTCAGTTCGAGGGCCCTAGAGAGGCTGACGACTATAGCTCCGGTCATTTGAGGGAAAAAGGAAAGAGATTATTAAAAGCCAAGGGCAGGACATGGAATATAAAACATTTATTTTAATTAAAATAAATCAAGTAAAAACAAGTTTTGAGCAATAACATATGGAGCTCCTTACAATTAGATTAAAAACCCATAGATACATAGATTCGTGTCTTTGATGTGTCTGGACTTGAGATCAATTATACACATGCTAATGTCCAATTTCCATAAGAATACAGTAAATGACAATTATATGTTGGCTTAATTTTGTTTGACAAAGGCACTCTCCAGACTTCTTAGCAAGAAACTTGGTTCTGTTCCATGTAGGTTCACTCCTGGAATCTACAAATTTGGGGGAAGAAGAAACAGACTAATTTGTATAATAAACAGACCCAATATTCATCCCCTCACCGCTGTGGAGTAAAAAGAGGCTGAAGAATGCTTGGAGGTTCTTAATCTCCCTTCTGAATGAAGGCCTCTGGGGCGGAGGCTGCGCGGAGGACTGGGAAGATGGAGGCGCTTGTGTCTGGGGTCCCCTGGAAAGAGTTTCAGGAAGGACGGGCGAGCCCACCTCTCTTGGGCACCTTTACCCTTGGCCCCTTTTGTCTCTTCTAAGTATAGGAATGCACGGTTATTTTTCAGAAGAGAAAATATTACTCAATATGACATTACCACTTAAAAATAATTTTAGTCACCTGACTGGAAAAGGTTAATTGAAATGAGAAAGGGCAGGGTCCCAGAAAGAAAAATTAAATAGTAATAAAACTTGATGTCGTCATGAGAAAAATCTGGCTTCTCCTTCCATTTCTACCATGAACTAGCTACGTGGCTTGGATTAGCTCACCAAGTCTCTGATGGTGGAGTTTCTTTCTTTGGTGAAGGGCTTCGACCAGACTCTCGAGCTTCTCCCTCCCCACGACTCCACATTACTGTGCATAAGGATGGTTGGCCGCCATGGCCCAGCAGGACGGTGGGTGGCCTCTCCTCCAACACACATGGAAGGCGAAGAGCAGTCAGTCTCCACTTCTGATCTCTGCATGGAGGTGAGGGGCACCCTAGGCCCCAGATGGGGAGATGGCATCCCCATCCCCAATCCTCCCTGTCATCATCCCCAACAGATAGAATCACAACAAGTGGAAGGGACAAAGGGGGCTGCGGGGTCAGTGTGCATCTGCACTGTGTGGTGTCCAGTCGCCATGCAAATTAGCACAGAGACCGAAACATTTCCCTTGCTAAAAGTCCAGTTCTAAAAAGATCTTTGGAAGTAATTAAAGCCTAAGATGAAATGGTTGGAGAGAAAAGGACAGGAGATTTCAAGAGTGCACATGTTGCTCAGAAACCCGCCCATAATCCCCACTCAAGGTCCCTTCCAAAACTGAAAGGCCTTCATTAATGTAAAGCCACACATTTCATCTTCATGTTACCAAATGCAAATGCACGTGTCCATGCTCAGAACGCAAGGCAGCTGACATAAAGGCCTCCTTCCTCCTTCCCAATGCTGCGCTAAGTGCCACAGATCTCCTGAAGGTGGTATTAATTTCCTCTCCTAATAATGTCTGGGTCGTGAGGTTCGTTGCATTCTACTTTGCACCCTCCTTATCAGGCCTGTGGAGCCCTGTGCTGTGTCCCCCACGAGTCCAGCTGCCACGTCAGAAAGGCTCACACTTTCAAAGGATTAATCACACCTCTCCGGTGCTTTGAAAGACCTCGTGCTAATCTGCACCCTTTCTGTGAGGTTGACCCTGCTCGCCTTCTTGGGAGTGACAGAGAGGACAGTGGCGTGCTGGGGACGGGGAGCATTCCAGATCACACCAACAGGAGCGATCCTGCCAGTGCAAAATGCATCTAGCCCACTGGTATTTCTCTTTTCTTCTTCCTTTAGAGGGAAGAGTGAAAGTAAAGGTCACCTCAATATGCATAAATTGGCCTTTTGATGAAAGACACTTGAAGGAATTTGGCTCCTTGTAATAGGAATCCTAATTCAATTGAATGATGCGACCTAATCTGACCCCATTCACAGGGGGTCTTCAGCCTAGGAACTGGCCCAATGTGTAAACGCAGAATTTGTCACTCTTTCAGATGTCCTTCTGATGCTACACTGAACGATTACTTACACTAAGTTGTAATCAGGAGTGCCATTCGCATACCAGAGCTGAGGGCCCGGGCACTGATACTCTTTGTTGCTATTAAAACTCTCTCAAACACATATTCTTCCCTCACACACTGGTTATTTAATTATTTCCTCATCTCATGTGTTAGAGTGTTTTAAGAAGACATTGGAAATCAATGCGTTTTCTTTTCTTTTTCTTGGGAATTATGGCTGGTGCATTTTAACTGAACTAATGGAAATTTGTCACCTTATGAGTCATGGGGAGTACAGGGTAGTGAAGAGAAGAACTGGAAAGAACAGAGAGGTCAGGGATGTGGCCCACGGTTGCTGAGGGCTCCTGCAGACAGGGCGGGGTTGGAAAGCTGCACACACAGCGGTAAACCACGTCAGGTCTGCTCTGGCGCTACATCTTACCTGATATTTTAACACATGTATTAATTTCTAGAAATGCAGAAAATGCAGACGTAAAAATAATCACATACAGTCGACGCATCATTATTCCCCATGAATTCAGCACAGCTAAGTCATGTGCGAATCACGTTTTCTTCAGAAACCATAGAAAAGTAACGAGCCTCCAAACTCTGCTCTTTGATCCTTCTACAAAACCTGCAAAATGAACCCACAATTCTCTGGATTAACTTACAGGATTAATGTATTTTCAAGGTTTAAAACAAAGTCCTTCACCGGACTTTCTAATTTCAGAAGAGGACACATATGAGGTGATGCCAGTGTATTTCATTTACACAAATGTGCAAAGAAGATGGGGTTTTTGATGGTCTGTGGTTGGCCTCGTCTTCTTGGCTTCTTTGCTTCCATTTTCCTTCATCCCTCGATGCACTGGGGAGCAGGAGGAAAAAAATGGACCTATTAACCACGTCTCCCTGTTTCTGTTCCATGCAGTAGTTTACAACAGTCTCTTTTACAGAGAAGGTCGATTTCTTACAGTGTCATCTCTCCGCTGATCTCAACAATGGCAGCACCTGCTGTGGCACCGTGGAAGGTGTGCTCACCGCCTTCCCTGGGTCCTCACTTGTCTTTCCAGCAAAAATGTCCCCAGTGTCCCAGCCATGGCTCCACCTGCTGCACGCACTGGTGACGTTAGCAGTTTGTGGCTTCTGGATTATCCTTTATGGACAAGATCAGAACCAAGTGGAGCACTCACTGGCTCAGCCCACAGAGACTCTGTCTATTGCATGGTCCCAGGGCTGTCTGAGAACCCCACTCCATCCCTGCCTGGCCAGCCTGTGGCCCTCATCCTCTTGTCTGTCCTTCCTGCCTCCCATTGGTCTCTCTGATGGAACCCTATTTCCCATTCCAGACCCAGCCAGCAGATACCTGAGAGTGTGGTTCCAGACCCAGCGAGCAGATACCTGAGAGTGTGGTTCCTCATGTCCTCTGTGTCTCAGGTTCTTCTCGCCTTCTTTCTGCTCAGAGGAACCTGCCTACTCACCTGGCCACGCCTAGCCTGGATTCTGAGTTCCCAGCTCGTGTCCACAGCACGGATCCAAGGAGCTTGTGAAAGACAGGGCGCTGTGGCAGCCACAGTGAGGTGACCTGGAGAAAGGACAGGCTGCAGATGAGTCAAGAAAGAACGAGAAGCAAACTCCAGCCAGATGCTTATTTTTTTCCTTAAAGCCAAGCTCTTCCCATCTTTAAATGGACTTATTTATGCTTTTCAGAAATGATTCGAAGTGTCAAAACTTAAGTGAAATTCAGGCTTTATTTCTCACACTTCATTGATAAATGAGACACTTTTTTGTTTCCTGGACTCTGGAACGTAAAAGGCCCCTTTCATCTGGGTAACTGGGTGATAAAATAGCTGACGGAATAAAAGTCTGTACCATTTACTCAAATGCCGGCACCTTTTCAGAAGTTAAGTATTTCCCCAGATAAGAACGTTTCTGGGTGATGCTCCTTCCTTCTCAAAGATATTATACAATATCTTTGTATACAATATACAATTGTATAGAATTAGGGAAAATGATAACTGATCATAGTTCATCAATTAACATTTACAGAGTACCTTCTCTAGATCATCAAATGCCAGATCTTTTAAAAACAAAAAGACAAAGGAGAGTAACACAGATGATGATCTTTTTTTTTTTTTGCACAAGGCTTACATCTATCAGTCCTCTATTCGAAAATAAATTTGGAATAATAGGATCTGATCTGCTACCAACTCAGATAGCACCTGTGAGATCCTTGTGGATCACTGTGTTTCTCTAAGGCTTGACTGATTCATTAATACAACGGGGTAATAGCACCTGTCCATGGGTCTTAAGAAGTTTTTAGCAAGCCCGTGAAACCACAATGTGAAGTCACTTGAGGAACTGTAGAGTTCTCTGCCAAGACAAGGGAATGAAAGGAAGGGAGATGGGTTGAAGAAATCTCACTTTGCTTCTCCATAATTATTATGTGCACGGCTCTAGAAAGAGATTTCTTGTTTGGACAAATAATTTTCTTACTGTAGTACATTTGAGCTTTCCAAATAACCCTGCATACACATCAAAGAAGATTCATTTTGCTTTCAGCTAAAGGGTATCTCTTCAAAAGAGATATAAAAACCAAAATTGCAAATCAAATAATAATTAAACAAGAAACTTCTGTGTAGTGTTTAAAAGTTCATAAATCGCTTTTACTTCCCCTTCACCTCATTTATCTGGTTTTGACCTTGAATGTGTTTATCTGGCTTAGGCCATTTTGTTATTATGTAATATCCTTGCAAGACACATTTAAAAAGTAAAATGCAAAAAAAGCTTCCCCAACACCTTTAGATCCAGTCTCCAAGGTAAGAATTGTGGTGAGGTTGTCAGGAAGCGCCACTTCTAGATGCACCTCTGAAAAGCAGTACGTCCCTAGCCCGGCAGTCATTGCTTCCTGGGACTTGCCAGCCCTCCCTGGGCTGAACTGCACCGCTGAGGACCACATCAATGTGCCCCCAGGTACAACACACATGATGCCCTGGGGGGTCCTCTGGAAGTCAGGCTTTCTGCAGCTCTCACTCACTGACACTGCCAGGTGACTGGGGCCCAGGTGCAGGCTCTTGTTTGAAACATGAGCTGCAGCAGAGGCTCACTATTTACTCCAAACCAAAGGGGGAGAAATCAACTCTCAGGAAGTATTGACCTCTATACCTATAGAGACCTGGTATAAAAAGAGTAAAAACAACAAAAATTATTTTGTATTATACTTTGAGATTTTTACTTAAAATAACAATTTAAATGCATAATTTTTGTTCCGACATGTATCTGTAGCAGTTTGTTTTGCTTCTACAAGCTGTGTGATTTAACTATGCATTGAAAGTGTTTTTGGTAAGAAACGGATGTGTGTGTGTGTGTGTGTGTGTGTGTGTGTGTGTGTGTGTGTGTGTGTGTGGAGAGAGAGAGAGAGAGAGAGAGAGAGAGAGAGAATTTATTTCAGAATTGCAATGTTTTATTATCCCAGGTAACCAAGAACTCTGAAAACATTTTCTTAGTTTCTGTATGATAAACCAAGACACTTCAGAGGAGAAGGTGGGTTGGTGGTACAGCTCAGTAGTACAGGACTCAGTTAGCATGGACCAGGCCCTGAGTTCAATCCCTAGGGTCACAAAAGAAAAGAAAAGAAAGAGTAGAAACTAACGGCTTACTTTTACAAACCTACAACACGTATTGTGGTTCCTCCGCAAAAGGAATATTCAATAATTACTTGTTAAGCAGAATACCAATTGTCAAAAACAACTTTAAATGCTTTCCAAAAATGTTAGCTTAATTTTGGTTTGCTTTTATAAAAAAAATCAACATGAGGATAATTGTTTTGAGGATGACAAAATCTTTTGAAAGTCCTTTAGGTTATTTGAGATACCATAAGCTATCATAAGATTATGAAAGACTGGAGTTCCAAGGAGTGACATGAGGATAATAAATAAGTATAAATTATAAGTTGAGTTGCTGAGCACCAAGTCCATCTATCAACAGAAAAAGGAGGCTTAGAAGTCAGAGCTGATCAGCAACCAGCCATTCAACTTAGAACCTTCCTTGACAGTGTGAAAGGGACATTTGCAAACCCAACAGCCTCATCTGAGGGCAGAAACCCAAGAGAGCCATGTTAGGCCATCGCCAATGCTGCAGAGATAGATGGGAAGCGTTGAGAAGGAAAAAGGGTTAACCATGTAATGTCTCCTCACTGAAAACTTAACTCCTACATTGGAAATGTAAACAATTTAATGTCCCCCTAAGTATGCCCTAGGCCACTAAGTCAATGTTCTGATTGACAATGTTTTGATTGACAATGATTTGATTGACAGAGCTTGACATCTTCTGCTTTTTCCAATGACTATTTCTTAATAGTAGTATCTTCCAACTATAGAGTTTCCCAATACATTTTCTTATCCTCAGCTATCCCGTTTGTAAAATGAGCACAGGGACACCTGCTCTGCTGTCACAGTCACTCCATTGCACAGGAGTGTCCCGCCTGTCCCTCTCGGGATGGGTGGTAGGTTAAGTGTATTCCCCTTCCCCTGAAATGGGCAGTCGCCACTTTATGAATTGACAGCGTCGTCGGCTGAGAGAACGAGTCATGGTTCACTTCAAAGCAGAAGCCATGTGGAGCCAGGGTGCAATTTTCTGGTTCTCTTTCTACTGCCCTGGGCAATGTCACTGTGACCAGCAAGTTCTGGGGAGTGGAGCCTTCATCAGTCTGCATCCCTGCCTGGAAACGAAGTGGAGGGGAACCCACGTCAACTCCAAATGGACATGCAGAGTGAACAAAGAAGAAGCCCAATCACTCTTTGTTAAGCTACTCGGCATTGGAGGTTATTGGCCACTATGGTTTACCCTGGTCTGCCCTGAGCGATCTCCTTTACAGATTCCTCTAACATTAAAACCAGTGTGTGCCATGTGGTCACCACTCTACTTCAGTACAACTCAGTCCTACAGCTTAAGCCAGCTGGACAGCCAGGGAAGGAACTTTTCACTTTTAAACTGGAAGTTATATAGTCTGAAACAAATAGTGTATTTAAAGTTTGAAAAACATAAAAAACAGAGATGACTGGCCTAAGTAATGTTCCCGACTAAGAATGATTTTGTTTTATATTCAAATTGCCCCTAAAAGTGACAAAACAGACTTTTTCATATCTGAGTTCCATCGGAACTTGGTGCTCAGCAACTCAACTTATAATTTATACTTATTTATTATCCTCAGTTGGTCAGTTAAGTAGCAACATTGCATAGTTGGTACACATAGTGGCATTCACTAAGCATAGCAGAACTCACACACACAATAAAAAGATTATGTTTTTGCACCAGTAACACATACACCTCTGCATAAACTACACACACGTACACAGCACTGTCTGTGTGCTAAAACTCTATGTGCATCAAAATCTTTATCTTGTCCAAGCATTTTGAACTCTATTGCTTCCTGAGATCACAAATTATTGTGAAGCACAAAATGCTTTTGCAGGATGCTCTTAAGCCATTGCAGAGCAACAAAAAGTCATCAAAGCAAGGGATATTCTCTCAAAAAAAAAATTACACACAATCACAAACGCACACTTTGCATATAGTCGTGGGAGATGTGCTAATTTGTTGCAGCCCATGTTAGATCCTGGGTTAAGAATTGTGGCATAACCACCCTAGTATATTCCCACTGTTACTAGGGTCTGTAGCATATTGGAATGTTTTGCATCACCCTCAACATACTTATTGGTATTGCACAGTTCATTGACTGCCTCTGAATAGGAAAGGCACCCTTGCATGGAACTGTCCCATGCATTCCATCTCCGGTATTTGTGTAGGAGGAATTTGTGTAGGAGAAGCATTAGTCATCCTTCCATCTTTTATCTTTGGCTCTGGAACAAATGAGGCTTTCTTCCCAATCCCCAGTATTTGAAGATTCCATATGAATAATAATTTCAGAGTTGTCATAGAAAAAAGGATCCTACATTTGGGGGGAGGAGAAAGAGACACAGAGTAGAGCTCAGTGATGTCATGGGCAGCGGGGAGAAGGTCCTGGGCACTCCAAGTCCCCATGGAGCCAATGTGTCATTCAAAGGCAGAAGATCCCTAAACTACTTGGCCATGTTTTGACATTTTTTGCTTCCTCAGCCTACACCTAAATTCGTAAGGAATTTGTACTCGTCCTGTGAAAGCACCAGAACCCTGGTGATTAAATACAAGAATGTCATGTGGCCTGTTAGCTTTTGATCTAAAGGAACTTAGCTCTCTGAGACACTGCCTAACCACCTGGGAACACCAACGGTGAGGTGAGGAGGGACTGCAAGTCCCTCAGCAGCAAGGCTGTCCTCATTGACCCCTCCGTAGTTTGTGATAGAGACTCACAGAAAGGGACATACCTTCTTGTTATTGGATTTTATAACCTGGATTGTTCAGGAATCTGTTCGAAGCCTGAATTCATTTTTCAAACCCAAAGCAGACAGCAGAATTGCTTTAAGACAGAAGCTTACATTCCCAGTAATGGAGATAAGAGGCTTATCATTCCTGTAGCAAGTGCCCAAGTGCATCTGTGAATCACATCCCCTTCTAAATGAGCTGAGGCTGAGGCCAAGCCGGCGCTGGGCTGTTATCAGCCCATGATGCACGTACAACAGCACACGGCACAAAGATCAAGGGTCATTGATCTCTCGCCACAAACTGGTCTGGAACTACAGCTGCAGCATGAATGCAGGCCGTAAAGACCCCACGCCTACGTGGCGACTCTTCCCACCTTTCTTACAGCCACCGCCTGTCAGTATGCACACATTTACAATGCATTGCACAGCCATGCTGTTCACACAAACACACATGTAAGTACACAAACTGGGTGCCAGGATCCATATCTTGACGAATCAATAATTTCATACATGCTGTTCCATATTTTGCTATTTTTTTAGATTTGTAATTGATTTTACAGATGTTTTCAGATCAGCACATAAGACTAAGATTTTTTTAAAAAAAAATGAACAATATGAAACATTATACACTTTCTAAAAAAATCGAACATCCTAAAATGGAATTAAGTGAAAACAGTGTCTTTCTCTCCCAACATCTTTGCTCGGTCAGAGGCGGTTACTGGTAAAGTTTTTAAGTAGAAAAAAAAAATTCAAAGAAACAAAAGAGAGAAACAGAAAACTAGGTGGCTGTCAATCACTTGCTACCTTCCAGTGAATCTATTTCTCCATCCCTCGGAGCTGGGCTGGCCTGTGACTGCTTTAACCCAGAGAATTCGGCAGGACACAATAGTCAGCACTTGTGGCTGAGAACTTCAGAGAGACCAGACGCCAAGTAAGAAAGAAGGGCATGCTAAGGAGGAATGATGACATCACGCCCCGGGCTTCATAGGGTGCTCAGGATGACTGGACTCCACACCCTCACAGGTAAAAGCTTACCCAGTTGGATGCACTTTTTCTTTTTTTAACTGTGATGAGCTTTCAAGCTTCCTTTTGCAGCTTTGACAGTTGTGTGTACGGGCAGATGTGTTTTTCTCTCTGAACAATCTGTTAACATTTTTTACCTTCATAACGATACTCTTTCCACTAATTACAATGCTTTTATATACTAAGAAAATTAATTCATTTTATGCCATGAATTTTTTAGTATTCCCAGAATCAAACATCCATCTCCTCATCGTGGTCATAGGTATCAGCAGACTTCCACTCTGATCTCTCCTTGTTTTGTTTTTCCAGTGATTCTGTGTTTTAGTTTTTTCATTTAATATTTGAAGGAACTCCAACTTGCGTTACCACAGTAAGTGAGGCACGAATCTGGCTGCATTCTTTTCTAGGTGGCTACTGTTTCCTAAGTGTTTAAGAGCAAACCTTATATGCTGAGAGTTCCAGGCCTGGGAACATAGCTCAGTGGTGGAGCACTTGTCTCATACGCTTGAGGCCCTGGGTTTCATCTCCAGCAAAATAAGATAAAATATTCATTTCTATCTGAATTTTTCTTCTATCCCCTGATTCATGCACAAGTTCTTGTTTTTAAATTTATTCTCAATTGAAAATTTTAAAATAAAGAATAAAATAATTTGATACATGTAGATGCCATTAATAGATTTGAGTCTAAAATTTCAAAGAAAAGATTCTAGTAAGGTTCATATGAATGCCAATGGTCGTCAGATGGTTACATTATAAAATTATTCTTCAGAAACTATAGAGAACTTTTCTAAAAACAAACTCGCATTTTCTAAAGAACCAAAAAAAAAAAGAAAAATGGCCTTTTTCACTAATGCTCTTTAGAAAGGGAATACAATAGTGTTCTATAATTTTTTTGCAACATTTTTAATTAGCAAAATTTACTCTAAATTCTTTCCGTGTAAGTCAAGCAGAACAAAAGATTAATTCTATTTGAGCAGACATGGCCCAATTTGCTCTGGAAAAAAATGAAAGTAGCCAGAGAAGAAACAGTTCCTTAAAATCCTAAGGAAAACCCCGTCCAGGGACGACATTGTCCCTCCCACCATGAGTGGTGATCTAGGAAAACTGCTTCAGTATCTCCAAACCTCTGTGCATCCCAGAGCACTGAATAAAATGTCAGGTCAAAGAGAGGAATGCTTGGTCCCAAGGCCACATGTTTCTAGCTGAAACTTCCTCAAGCTCCAAAGCATATCAAGGACAAACAAACGTTTAAGTAAAGGTTGTAAATTTTTCTTCTTGTTGTTCTGGGCATTGGAATGTTGTGAATTTTGTTTTTAAATATTTATCATCTGGAATCCTTCCAGGCAGAGTTAGAACATTATAACAGCAAAAGGTGAGAATGTATGATCCACCTCTCTGAAGACATGATCATGAAGTACTTCCATACATGTTTGCATGGTGCTGACCTCTGGAGATCACTGGGTGAAGAGCAATCCATCCCAGAGGTGGGCAGGGGGGACTCTGAAGGAGACCTACAGCAAGAGGCCACATACCCAAGTACACAGGAGGCTGGAGAAGCCCAGGAGGTGCCGGAGGAGCCCAAGGTTGACGAGAGCAGAGCTCATCCTTGAGTAGGAAGAAGCACAGTTGGGTGGAAGGAGCCCAGCTGCTCAGCACTGTGGATCCGCTGCATGAGGGCAAAGAGAAATCCACTGCTGGCTGGGGGATCTGTCCCCAGGACTTGGGATTAATAACCACGGGCTTCGTCTTCCACTGATAAAGCTGGACACATGTTTTCTCTGGTCACTTTTGGGCTGGTAGGATGAATTCAGAGACCTTAATCATAATCTGGTACCACCCTGCGTGGTCAAGCGTAGGAGAAGGGAAACTCGGCTTCCCTATTCAGGCCTGAGAGACGTGGGTTCTTACCGCAAAGAGAAGGAAAAGACGTCTTTAAGAGGCAGAGCACTTTATTTTACAAGGTAAAAAATAACCACACTGCAGCATTGTGAGCGCATGATTCCTCACAATGTGAGCGCTGTGTAACCATGGAGTCATTATCTAGTTCTCCCCTTCTTTAAAACAAAGACGGAGCTGAAAATCCAGGAGCTTCAAGGTGCAGGATGATTATTCCGTTCATTACTTGGTAACTGGAAGTATAATTATCAAGTAATCTGCATGAACATAATTACGTATTTACATAGTCTTTGCCATGTAATTACAGAGGAGTTCGGTGATTATACAGTACACTCCTGGAAAAAGAAAGTGATACCAAAAAACAATCAAAAAAAAAAAATTCTGTGTGATGTAGTCATTTCAGAGAGAATCCAGTGTGAGGATGACTTACTCCAGGAAAAGCCTCAACCTTAACATCAAGTGAAAACAATAAAAATCAGATCAATTTCCAATCACAAAAACCAATCAGAGACCATTTGTGAATTATAGAGCTGGCTGAGACCAACAAACCATTTCAACCACTCAGTGTTCAAGGAAAGGGAACAACTTGCTTTTGTGTTTCAAAATGAAGAGTGTTTTTTAAAATATATTTATTAGTCTAATCATCTGTAACTCAGCCTTCTTTCACCCATTATTAAATCACAAGTGTCTCTTTTATATTCTAAGATGTTTAATAAGTGGGTAAAGAAAAATGAGAAGGAATGAAGTTGAACTATACTGATCACTTAACAAAGTTCTGAAGCTTCCCTCTACGCAAAGAGGAACATTAAGTACTTTATTTTTTAAAATTTCTAATATGAATGGTCTATAAAATGCTGTCCTGAAATTTTTAAGCATTTTTTAACTGAGTTCTGATTTTTAAAGTCTCCCTGTTGACTGAAAATTGATTCTTGTTTTCTGTTTCTAACAGCTTAGGTCACAGTGATTTCAATGATATACTCTGCAGAGTGGATTGTATTCCTTAAGAAAGTCTATCTCAAATGGTTTGCATCAAACAACAATTCATCTAGAAATGAATGAAAATAGACTACTGCATACATACCAGAGATGAGTAAAACCTAAACTGCAACTCACACACACACACACACACACACACACACACACACACACACACAGAACAAGCACAAATCAATACTTGAGATCCTTTCCTGTGAGTCACTGTCGTCTCCAAAACATTTCCAGCACTTCATCTGGCTCTAGTTGTTTCTGTCCAACTAGTTAGGCAAACTAACTCTCTTGGTTCCCTGAACACTGTTCAATATGTCCATGAGATAATTTACTGCCCTTTTTCATCGTTAAAGTGATAGAAGAACGTAACTTAAGCATGAGACAAGCAGAATGTCAGGCTTTTGAGAACTTTCACTGCAGAACGGCAGAGAAGTCATTTATCTATGCTTGACAAAGATGTTACAGACCAGTTCAATAGCTCTGGTGGAAAAAAAAAAAAAAACAGCAACATGGCATCTTTAAAAGACTCCTGCCCCTAAATTTTAAAAGGTAGCAAATGTTCAATATCTAATCGTCTTTCTTTCAAAAGCTTGATTTTCTGTAGAGATTTAGTCACATTCCCTGGCCACCTGAGAACAGTCACAGCACATAAAACCTCCAAAAATTCAGTCAGATGCATCGCAACCCCTCTGTGATCTGCTCCCTGATCTGGAGACCCAACTTCTAAAGCAACCAGAAGAAAAGGAGAAAAGATGGACCCTAGCCTGGGCCCCATGTTTCACAAACTCACCCACCAAACCTCTTCATAAAGCACACACACGGGCGGCTTATTGAGTCCGCCCCATGAATCATGCTGCCGCAGCCCTCTACTCCCTTCTCGGAGCTGCCTCCTCCACGGTGAACAGAAGTCCACTCTGTATGAGTCATGCTGATCTGTGGGATGCGCCTCTGCTCTCATCTGAGATGAGCAAGGTTTGGAGGAATGAGCGGAGACCAGGCTGCAGAAGCAATCGGGAGATCCAAACCAGAATTGGTGACAGGTGAATGCTTCCTCCACCACGGCGCAGGGTGCACCGATTCCTGAATAGGGAGGCGCAGTGCTGGGATGGGGACAGGTGTCCACTTTCTCACTTTAGACATCTGCACAGAAGAGCTGAGGAACCTCACTCAGTAAGAAACAACTTCAATTATTCAGGAATGTGTGCCGACGTAGGTCTAGATTTTTAAAAGATTCAATGTGAGTTTTCAAAAAATTAAATTTTATAATTTCTGTCTTATTTAAGTACTTGCACTTAAAGTTTTTATTTTCATCACTTATGACTTATATTTTGTGTTTAGTGGGTGAGTTTGAGTTTTTAGAAGAAATAACTCTCACAAACCTAAAGAATCAAAACTTCTCATTTTGTAATTGTTTTTACTTTACATTTTAAGCACACTATATTCAGATTGTGAACATTCGAGCACAATTACATTTGTAGTCCTTTACAACATTACTCTCAATAGAAAAAAAATGTTTTTAAAAAAATCGTTGTTATAAAAGTACTTAGTGATTTTGGTTACTTTAAGTCACAAAGAAATTGTGGGTACACAGTACACTCACATAGCACGCGTGCTATCTCTGAACTTACCAGGAATCACTGGCCTTGTAAAGGGGGTACCCAGCCTGCAAGGGTCATGAAGAGGGTCACATTTCTTCAGCATTAATCACAGGAAAACCTCAACTTAGGATGTATTTTTCAATTTTGACATTCTAAGGATCTGTTTGGCAAGAAAAGATGATAAAACATCTTTTATTTAGCATTTTGTTAAGTCTGCCTCACAACTTCCAAAAATTCAGACATATGGTATGCAGACTTCCACTCATGCCTTGCCCTGAGCCCCCAAAATATTGAGAGCTGTGCAACTCGCTCTCCTGTCAATACAGGATGTTTGTTAAAGTGGCCCAAATGCTGCTCCCTTTCTTAAGAACCATCAGTACCAGGATCATATCATCTACACCAAGCTTCCAGCACCAACAAACATTCTCTTTACATTCCTCCCAAGAAAGGACTTTGAAAAACAGTGTACATTGGAAGCAATAAATGCACGTTGTTATTTACCACTGGCATATTGGGGTTGTTTGTTACGTAGCATCATCATGGCAGAAGATAACTGACGTAGTGAATAGAGTTGAAAAATACAGACAAGGTCTATGAAAAGCACTAGTAAGTAAAGAAAAGAAAATATCATGGTTCAAACTCCAAAATGGAGGCTTTGGGCAATGATGACCCAGAAGTTTCTGGAAAACATTGAACATTCTGGTGATGCACAATGAAGATGGGCCTGTAGAATACGGGGCAGAATATGCAATGAAGAGCTGCAACAGAGGGAAAGAAAAGAAAGGTATTCGGAGAAAATTGTGAGCAAAGTAAGAACAGCATCAGATTAAAAATCCACAGAGGAGACAGTGAAGAGCAGAACCCACACTGAGGAAAGAGACAAGTGAGCTGCTCCGGAACCAAGAGGAGAATGGGAAGGAGACGAAAGGCGGAAGAGGCAGTGGCCACTGAAGAGCGAGGCCTGGGACGCAGCCTGCAGATGATCCATTCTGGATTTTGGAAAATGTAAAGGAAAGCACCTCTTGAGCCCAGAGAGGATCTGCAACTACAGGTTGAGAGGCCCCCAACATTCCAAGAAGAATCCAAAAATCCCCAGCGACACGAGCACCCGGCCAGAGGAGTGAGGACAAAGCACCCTCAGAAGCCTCAGGCGGAGCTGCGGGGTGCAGACTCAGAGAAACGAGGTGGAAGACGTCCTGGCTTTGGCAACAGGTGCTTGAGGTCACGCTGCGTCCTCTGGGAAGGGGCTGCAACCCGCCCACCCTCTATCTCATCGTTCACGTATGAAGCCAATAGAGAACCCCGAGAAGACGGCCTCTGCGCCCTTTTATAAAACTCAGTTCTCTGCAGAAAGCACAACACTGAAGTCCACCCAGGAGGTTACTGAGGCAAAAGAGGGCCCGGCGCCTCCTGTGCATGGCGGTAAGAGCTCAGCCTCACAGCGGTGGGCAGCCCTGCTCCGTTCTCCATGCTCAGGCTAGCTCAGGCTAGCTGCACCCTCCAACGTCAACCCAGCCTGCTTTCCTGCCCATGAAATGGGCACACTAGTACCTACATCAAATCATGGCAAAGCTTTGAAGTATACCCAATATTCACTGTAAAGTTTACCGTATACCAGTGCAAGTTTGGTTATGATGGTTGGTGCCACAGATATATAATACCTAAGGTGATAAATTGAAGTAGGATCTTTAGAAGGAGCTATGTGAATGTATGCCAAAGTTTTCTGTGCTCTGTGCCTGTATGGTCACATTGAGCATTGTCCTTTTGCATCTGATAAAACACCTGAATATTACCTGAATGCTATGTACATTATAAAGAAGATGTATGTGTTTTATGTATTAAGCATCATGTCAGTATAGGGAGGAAATGGGTGTCACAGGCTCTTTACTCACTAATCAGAGTATAGATCAGCTGGCGGCACACCACCCCCTGAGTTAGGGGTGAATCTCTGTGGAATGGGCCCAGGGCCATCCCAGTGCCCACTTTGGTAACAAGTTTGTGTGAGCTGTGACTGGTGACCCACAAGAGTCATTGGCAGAGAAAGGCAACATGAGGCTGGAATTAAGTTCCCACGTTTGTCTGCATTGGTGGCTGAGACTCAAGAGAAAAGGGGAATGGTTATCTTTGGAGCCACCTTGAGGGGTGCTGGCTGGCCAGGGCCAGAAGCTGGAAGGCCTCCCTGCAGTAATAGACAGGAGTCACCTGGGGAACAGGCCAGTCCTTCAAATGACACTGTCTGAGATAAGTCCCAGTAGCCCCTGACATCTAGAGACCAGGGTCTTTCCTTTGGGAGCCTCAGCAGCGGGGAGATTGGAGCTCCAGAGAGTAGTAGGGAAAGGACCACGCCATCACAGGCAACAGACTTGACAAGTCAGGGCGCACTGGCCCAAAGGGTCACGTGAATGAATAAAAGGCAAAACAGTATCAGTATTCCCCCCATCCCCAGCTTTCCCACAGAAGGGCCATGGCTAGTTTTCCTAATCTAATAAAATCATGCCTCAAAATTATGTTGTCCCCACAGTTTAATTAAACCTGACTTCTTGCCAAGACTTGCCTGCCTTTTTCCAGGATGTCACTCTTTTAAAAATGTTTTAGAATCCATCTATAAAGCAGTGGTTACACACTTTCCTAACATACATTTAAATGCAATGTATTCATATCCCAACACTCCTGATTCACATACACTTTACTGACATTCAGAGTTCATGGAGGAAATTATTCCTTCTGCAATGAATCATGCATATTTTGAGTCCTTCCTAATCTCCTGTTACAACTCAATTACATGCATTTCCATCCCAGAAAAGCCTGTACCAGGTTCTTCCTAACCCACTAAACATCTAGTGGGAAGACCTTGCAGATGCATTAAAAAACAGCATGAGATTTATATAAAATTGGAGATATATTTTTCTTCAAATTCAGAAACAGAATTGTTGGAAAACTCAGTGACTAGAATTCTGTTCTTTGATGCCACATGTATATCTGAAGCCAATCCTGAGAGAAATCGTTAAATAGACCAAGGGTTCTCTAGACTTCCTTTTCATTTCCAGGCTTAATATTTTCACATTATCTGGTCTCCCTATCACAAACAGAAGGAGCTAGCAAATTGATTCATACCAAGGTTTCGTGAACTGGTGTTTGTGTAATCTCAGAACTGAAGTATGTCAGAGACCACCACACCCAGCCTTCTACTCAGCCAACATCTACTCTTTAATCCTCTTGGAAGTATTAAAGTCTCCATCGTCCCCAGTGATCAGCTCCCTCAGCGTCCTATGGCTGGGCAAGCTCCTCAGAATGTTCTGGCTTCTTTGGGATCTAAGTTACCACGCTGACTTTCACCCTTTGGCTCCATGGAGACTGCCCACCCATGTACAAGACAGTTTTCCAAGTATTTCAAGAAAGCTATTGTATTCGTCTTCTGTGGCTCTTTCGCTGACTTAATGAGCTTCAGTGATTCCAGCTTTGCCCCTTTCACTGGCTTCCAAGTGGCCACCTGTTTCACTCTTGCTTGGATGTGCCCTATGGGTAAACGTGCTTCTCCAAGCCTACCACCCAGAAAAAGCTTCATTCTGGTAACAGTTGCTGGGAGCTTTCATAGTAGTTGGAGAAGGGGTCAAACATGGAAACCATCTAGACTCCTGGTTCTGAATCCTAGCTCTTGAGTTTCGAGCTCTGTGACCTTGAGCCGGTTGCATAACTTCCCCTGTTTTTTCATCTGTGGAAGAGGAACTGTACCACTTAATCAAATAATGGTAAGATTACAGAAAACTAAAGTGCATCAAAGCCCTCAGCAGACTGCGACACCCTCAATCAATGATGTGTATTATTTTTATACATCCTATTGCCAGCTAAGAAATGGTGACATCAAAAGTGATTGAGATGCCTTATATATCTAGTGAGTATGTGAATACTCTAGAAGCAAGAAAGTGAATGTACACAGTCCCCAAGGGTGACTTCTCTGTTTTCAATATTCTTTCTCCTGGCTCTATTTCAAGGGTACAAATTAATCCATTGTTTCTTTGTGAAATGACACTTTCTATATTTCAAATATTTCAACATTGGGAATTGAACAGTAAAGTTTTCCAAAATCCCAAAGTAGTGCCTGGGCTTTCTAATTTTATTTGCAATAAATGGCCTCCCAGGTCGTAAATTCTCTATATCATCAACTCGTTCAACTCGCGGGTGCTGTGGGAGAGATTTGGGTTATTGCTGACATTAAATCTACTCCAAACACCTCTTCCTCTTGCTGTAGAAAATACTATGGATGTGGCACCTTTTGGAGTCCACTTGTCAGTGGTCCATGACAGAGTAATGTCCAGAGAAGGCAGCCACAGGGAGACAAAGGCCCAACCACACTTGATCTGCTCATGCACTGAGAGGACCTCACCCTGCTCTGCTCCCGCTGCTGCTGCCGCTGCTGCTGCACAGGGCCCTCGGGAGGGCATGACCAAGATGACACTAAAAGTGAGACAAACATTTGCGACTGAAAATAGACCTCATC